GTCCCCAGGGTGTAATTGGTTCTTCATGTCCCTGGTCCCAGGTTCGACTGTGACCTCAGCAGAMGCACTGGGGACACCTGCAGGCCTCCCGTCAGCACTGGGCCTTGGGCTGCGGCCCTCAGTTGGCCTCGCTGGCTGGACTTGAGGACCTTTCCTCAGCTCCTGTCCAGGAGGAGGTGACAGGCCGAGGAGCTGCCCCAGGATCAGGGACRCTTGGGGACCTGCCAAGGGCTGGCACCCAAAGCAGAAGCTGCTTCTCCTGGTTTCCTCAAACTTCAGGTCCTCCTCAGGAGGCTGGGCATGTGCTTTCAGCCATGTGGTCAGCTGTGGTCTGAGAGACCACGGTTGGAGAGCCAGCGAGAAGGACTCTTCACTGGGCCTGGGGAGTCCAGCTTGGAAAGCAAAACTGACCCCAGGCCAAATACCCCCACTCAGATCCCCAAAGCATCAGAGCTTGCCGACAGGCCCACAGCCAGGAGGCCCCAGGCTTCAGCGGGCAAGTAGCTATCTAGGCCAGGAGTCTCTGGAGGCACCGGTGACCGGGACCCTCTTCCTGGGACATTTCTGTGGCTTGGTGCTGGCTGTCAGAAGTGGACATTTTGAGCAGAGTTCTCCCACGTCCTCTGCTCTCCCAGGAGGAGTGGGGATAGGCATGGTTCCTTCCCAGGATGTCTGGGCAGGGAGAAAGCAGAGTGCTCCGGGCGCCATGCTGAGGGGTGGCACGGCTCACCCAGATGTAGGCCCAGGGAAGACTCCGCCAGGAGCAGACAGAGAAACTGCCCCTGGAGGCCTGGTGGCCTGGAGGGTGCAGAGCTGCGTCAGAGGGAAGGCCAGGTGTGCTCAGGAGTGGACACCCGGTCCAGGGTGATGGAGAGGCCCTCAGGGAAGCTGCCCGGCACATCGACCTCTACCCCCCCCCCCCCGGGCTCAGGATGTCCTCCATGGGTCTCCACAGGCAGGCCTTCTGCAGCCACCCTCCTGGATCAGGAAGGTGGGGAGTCAGGATGATGCTGGGAAGGCAGAGGGAGGGACTGGGAGTGCCAGGGTGAGGTCTGTCCCCTCCACCTGCCTCTGACCCCACAGAGGCCCCTGGAACCACACCCAATCCTGCTCCTCTCTCCCAAGTCCCAGATCTTCGATGCCCAGAGCGTGAGGCGGTTTGTGGTGGGCCTGTCCACACCACAGAGTGGCTGGGACTGCCCACTGAGGCTTTTGCTGGTGTTACCTGCACAGTTTTGCAGAGCCATCTGATTGTCCTGTGAGGGCAGAGGGGACGGTCACTGTTCCCAGGAGGACCAGGGTTCACAGTGCCTTCTGCACCATGAGGAAGCAACAGAGCCTGAGCACACTTCCACACGTCCCCTGGGGAGACAGCCTGAGCTGGCCGCCCCCCCTCCCTGGACCGTGGAGCCCTCTGTCCTGACACCTCCCTCTGGACCCCCCACCTGAGGTCACACCTGTGCACAGCTGGGGAGGGGGGAGGGGCCAGAGTCCAGCTGAGGAGAAAAGGGGAGCAGGTCCTGTTCTGCACATGCCCCCTTGAGCTCCAGGTGCTGATGAGGGGGACAGCAGAAAGGCACAGGGTGGCTGGGCCCAGGGCCATTGTGTGCCAGAAATGGTGAGGAGGATGCTCCCAGAGATCCAGGCAGCTGCACCATGGGTGGGAAGAAACTGCAGCAGTCAGAGGGGGCCCAGGCTTGGGGGAGGGGAGGCAGACGACCTCTGAACTGGACCCACGGTGCTTCTGATGAGCTGACTTCCTGGCTGCAAAGGCGGTCCCTCTGCCCTTGCCCCTGGGTCACTCGCGTTCCTGGGACCTGGCACAGCTCTGGTGCACCTTCACGAGCCAACCAGAGACCTGCTTCTCTCCTTCATGACCTTGCACCTCTCCCTTTCTCTCCCCTTTCTGGCTTCTCTGCGTCACAGGATTTCTGGAGACAGTCACTCAGCCTGACAGTACCAGGCTGAGCCCAAGAACTGGGACCCCGGAGGCCCCTGCGGCTTCCCTTCAGTGTGAGATGAAAGGACCTGGAGACAAGCCATGACTGCCAGGAGGGCAGGCAGCAGGTGTGGGCCAGTCCTCCAGCTCCAGCCTCCGAAGCCTGGGAGGGTGAGAGGCAGTGGGGAGGCAGGCTGCCCTCCTCGGCAGGGATGGCCTCAGTGGATCCCTCGGCCACCTGCAGGACGCTCCCAGGCCCACACAGTGACCAGGCTAAGGGGCAGAGTTGATCCTGGCTGGAGAAGACCTGGGGCATGATGGGGGCATGGCTGCCCACAGGTTCCGTCCCCCTCTGTTCTGGCCAGCTCAGGTTTCAGGGGAGCCCTGCAGAGTCAGGCTGTTCTGCCTGTGGCAGCCTCTGCACACCCTGACACTCCTGCCATGGGGGAGGGGCTGAGGAAGCAGACCCAGGGTTTTTTTTTTTAATATTTATTTTTTAGTTCTCGGCGGACACAACATCTTTGTTGGTATGTGGTGCTGAGGATCGAACCCCGGCCGCACACCTGCCARGCGAGCGCGCTGCTGCTTGAGCCACATCCCCAGCCCAGACCCCAGGGTTTCCAAAGATGACGCTGGAAGGCAGCACAGTCTTTCCTGGCTGTGCTCTGGCTGCCAGACCTGGGGACAGGATTTTGCCACAGAAAAACATGCCTGAGTTTTGGGGCAACCTGCTAGGAAAGCCTCCCTATGTTGGAAGTCCCCCCTCCAGGGGAAGCTGGAAGCCCACAGAGACAAGCAGCAGTGCGCTCCCCGCCTTCCTTCATCTCCTGCACTTTATAACAGGATGAAAGCAGGACTGTCAGAAAGCCCCGGGAGGCACCCCACGGCACAACAGGCCAGAGGCGGCAGGATGGCCTGGCTGGACCACCGCTGCTCTCGGAACGGCAGGAGCCGGGGACGGGACTCCTCCCACAGAGCTGCCTTCTGTGCTGATGTCTTGTGTTTCACAGGTCTGCAGGAGGCAGCTGAGCAGTGTTTGGAAGTTCTGCTGTGAGTCCAGCACCTGCTCTGTCCTAAACCTCTAGCTGAATTTGGTCACAGGGACTGGAGGGTTTACGGACCAAGGTTTTGTGGACACCAACTACAAATACCAGTGTTTAGTAGCCTACCACAGCAATCAGGCGTGAGTTTTCTTGGTATAATTCTTCTTGCGTCTCCCCTTTCACTTGACAGGATGATAGGGACCCTCTGGTAATCCTAGGCCCCTCTCAAGGGGCAGGAGAGTGTCCTTTTCCTGTTCTCTCTATCTGACACCAAGACAACCTGGAGCAGGACAGGCCTCCGGACAGCAAGCTGCTAGAGAACCCGTTGCAGTGTCCTTGTGTGGCGAAAGTCAGCGGAGATCTCAAGATTCTGTCCCTCCAGATGCCCGCCAGGCAGGCCTGCTCCCTCAGGGTGTGTGTCGGRCCTCCTCCTCTGCCAGGACTGCCCACTGCCCTGGGGTGCGTGCCCCCACCCTTCCACCTACTGGCTCTGGGCTGCATGGGGCATGAGGGGCACCAGACRGGCTGGACGCGGACTTGCTTGTGCAGGTGGAGTCCAGTGAGAGGCCACCTGGCCTTCCACCTCCTCGCTGCAGGGTCAGCCCACCTGACTGGCAGGTGTGGAGGGAGTGACAGGAGCCGAGGCTCGGGGACGCCATCCCCTGGCTCTGGGCCGCCAAGCTCCCACCCATTTCAGTGCATCAACCCACAGGGAACCAGGTCTTCAACCCCACGGCTGAGTGAGGAACCGGGCATGTTTAACTCTAAGAAACCAGCCAGCAAACGAGAATCCAGGTCAGATACAGAGACTTCCACGGGCAGGTGCTCACCGGCACCCTGGAAACCCACAGYGGCGCTCTGCTATTCCTACAGCCCCCAGCAGGTGGTGCTGTCTGACGGCGGTCCACYCAGAAGCCACAGCCCAAGTGAGTCCTGACCTGTGATATTCCACCAGCTCAGAGTCCAGCTCTGGTGGACAGCCCTGAAGGGGCTTGCTTTCCCAGGATCACTGCCCTCCTCCCTGGCCTGCAGGAGGCCAGGAGCCCAGTGCAGAAGAGGAGAGAGGGACAGAGGCTGTGCACCAGCGCCCTGTGCCCAAGCCAGCAGTGGCAGCAGGGTGTCAAGCCTGCCAGCTGTGGCCAGATGTGGGAGAAACCAGGCCTGCAGTTGGGAGCTTTGGAGGAGAGAAATGTGTCCCGAAGGCCCAGGGGTCAGAGGCTGGGTCCCCAGGGCSGCTCTCCAGGGAGCTGAGGCCACTGGAAGGTGGCAGGTCACTGGTGGTGTATCATGAAGGGTGCCGGGGGACCTGGTCCTTCCTCTCCTCCTCYGGGCCTCAGGCATGAGGTGAGCAGCTCTGCTCCCGGTGTTCTCCCAGGGAGGCGGGGCCATGACCCTGAGGAGAAACCTTCCTTCTCTAAGCCGATAATCTCAGGTGTTGGCTAGAGTCATGGGAAGGAGACCCAGGGCAGGGCAGAAGGCAGAACAATCTCAGTGTGGCCCAAACACCTGGGGTGGTATGGTGGGAATCATGTTCTAAGGCTGAGTACATGCATTTAATGCAGACTCYCCAGGAGGAACAGATCAGACAATCTTTACAAAAAAGGGTGAGACACGGGAAACCTTGTAGGATTTATTTGTCTGCGCCTTACAGTAACTAGAACGTAATGCCAGACTGGCCTGTGTTGGGCGGACAGTCTTGGTGGCACATTTGAGCAGAACTGTTTTGCACCTAGAGTCTCCTGGTTCAGCAGGAGTGGGCAGCCTGGGGGTCTTGGCCTTCTCTAGCTCCTCTCCTGGGAAGATCAGAGCAAACTCCCAACTGATTTGCTCCCAGAGAAGCACACTCTTCACAGGGGCACCTGGAGCAGGAGTCGAGGTCACCAGGGACCTGCGAGATGAGCCATCCTGCTTCCCCTCAGGCTGCCGAGGGTTCCCACACCGATGTGCACCCAGGGTCTGAGCGAGGCAGCCTGGGACCTGTGCCTGAGGACGCTGGCGTTCCCGAGCAGCAAGGGCTGCTACTCACACAGTGGGATCTGGGACCCAGAGGCCGGCTCCTGGGGAGGGAAGGCAGGGTGAGCCCAGTCCTGTGGGCCAGGCTGGAGCAGAAGCACCTTCTGCCAGTCAGCCCGATCCTGTAGGGTGGGCAGCTCGGTGGCAGGAGAGCACCGCCGGTGGGCGCACCTCGGAGAAGCCCTCGCTACAAGGGGGTGGGCGTCTGGGCAGCTGCAGGCCCTCCTGCTCCACGGCAGACCCCAAGGGCTGCGCTCACCGCAGGCACGGGGCACCTTTTCTCCCCTGCTCTGCACATGTGGCAGGAGGGGGCTGATCCGGATGGCCCCAGTTGTGTACAAGCGACTTTAGTTTAGACGTCAGTTGACAACTAACTGCAGGTATCTGTGTGGTAAAACCTGATGTTTTGGTGCATTTTACACGTCAAGGTCATCAACTCGTCACCTACCTCACCACTTAGTCTTGGTAGTGAGATGTTTGTTTAAAAGTCGATTCTTTCAGCAACTGTGAATTCCACAGTAGGTTATAGTTAACTACAGCCCACGCCAGGCACCGGGCGGGAGAGGTCTCCAACTCACTCCTCCTGACACAACCGCTGAGCTCCTGACCACATCTCCCACTACCCCTCACCCTGCCGCCGCTCTCTGCTTCTACAAACTGGAAGTCGGATTCTCAAGGGACATCTTCTCTTGGGGTGGCCCCAAGGGTACAACTGGCAGAAAGCAAATGTCGACTGACTTTTCCCATTCTGGTTTAGTTACTCTGTTTCAAATAGCAAATCAGCAAGTCGACACTTTTCTCTCTGCTTCTGGGAATTCACTGTCGTCATTACAGCCAGGACTCAGATGGCAGTGAAGAAATGCTGGGGAGTTTGTGTGCCTGGAAGCCATTTTCAGTCTTAAGCTCTGGCCTACTGATTCTAATTCGCTGTGTTTTAAAGTGTAGGCTCAGCTTCTGACAAAGCCTCCTTCTCCATGAACACACTTTGTGTGAAAACAGAGGGAGGACCTGTGACGTCCACYGAGACCACAGGGGACTGGCAGGGGGTCCACGCAGGTGCAGGAAGGCTGAGGGCCTGTACGGGGTCCTGGGTCTCAGTGGGAAATCCGTGGCCTGCTGTCAGCCTCACAAGGCCACGGTGCACCCACCTGCTCTGAGTCCCGAGCTGCAGCCCGGCGCTGGGCCGTCCCCGCTTCCCGGCATTGTCCGCCTCCTCCTGCGTCTCTCTCAGTGATGGGCAGTGTGGATTTTGCCTCTGAACGTGACCTGTGGATCAAGACATCCAGTCACTGCCCTTGGTGTTTGGAGAAATCTGAAGGGCTGTGGGAGAGGCCAGGGTTTCAGCTGGGTGGACGGCGTGGCGTGTGACTGTCACTGGCCTCGGGTGAGAACATGCGGGGACAAGGACCAGACACCAGGGCCACATGGCAGTGATGCTCTCACCAGGGAAGTACTCCACCAACTCCCCACGCCTGGCCCGACTCTGAGGACGTCCCCTCGCAGGAAGCCACCTTTCTGGTACAGGCTCCTGGCAGGGCACTTCCCTGGGCTGCCCCTGCAGGTGGGCACTGGGCCTCCCCTGCAGCTCTGCGCCTCAGGGCAGCTAACTGTGTCCCCCGGAAAGTGGATTGCTCTCTGCTGACCACAGCCCGGTCCTGCATCTGGAGCCTGGGCGTGTTCACAGAAGGGAGGAGATCCAGGAGCATCCCAGGCAAATGGCAGCCTGTCTTTCCAGGCAGCCCTTCTGGTGAGGGGCAGCAGCCATTGCAGCACAGGGGCTCTGCCTCCGGGTGGCGCTGTGGGTGGCCCCACTCCAGTGCCCTGCGTCTGAAGGAATCCAGGGTTGATCTGAGGCCCTTGTTTGCTTTCTCACCAGGATGACACCTCCACCTTCTTTCAGGCCAGGGGTTGACAGTGAATATGCTATATGTCATGGCATTGTATATTTTTGAGTTTAAATGTTTAACAGCAGTCAGGACCTGAAACTTCCAGAGGCCAATCTCCTTACACATTTTTGCTTTTTACCGAGACACAGGTTAAAGCCCCAAGCCATCCCCAGGGCATCTTGGCCGCACTGGGATCTTGCACCAGCATCGTCAGTGGTGGGTACATGGCACCCCCCAGGCACGGTGCTCTCTGGCTGCTCCCCCGTGAGGACTACGTGCAGTAAGATCAAGCAGGGACACAAGCACTCCTCTGTGGACAAACTCAGAGGGCCACCAGGCTGGACAGGCCACTGAGGAATCATCACTAGGTCATGATTCAATGATTTTTTTAGGCAGCGAGGAGATCAAATGTTTTTTAATACTTACTTTAACAGCAAAACAAAAAGATCACATCTGAAGTGTATGCTGCGGAAACTCAGGTAAGCAAATCCTATATAAAAACCAACCCATGGGGCTGGGGTTGTGGCTCAGCAGTAGAGCACTCGCCTAGCACATGGGAGGCCCTGGGTTCTGTCCTCAGCACCACATAAAACTAACTAAATAAAATAAAGGTATTGTGTCCAACCACAATCAAAAAATAAAATTTAAAAAATCACCCAGTTGTACAAAGCAGTTACCATGCAGAAATGCACTCCAGGAAAGTAGACTTAGCAACAGTTTTCCTGCAGAAGGTCCCCAACACTGGGCATCCCCACCTGACAGTTTGCAAAGCTCTCTGCTTATGTGTGATCGTTTCTAGCCCCAAACTCCTGTCTTCTCCTCTTCCCTTGCTGTCTCCCTTCCTGCTGAACCCAGGCTCCACACCGGTTCAGTAAAGGCACTACCCCTGAGCTGTCTCTCAGCTCCATCTCTTCTCCTCGAAGGAGGTGGGTTTCTTACCAGGGGGCAGTCAGCACCATGGCACCCTGCTCAGCAGCAGAGGGGAACTTCCTCTAACAGGGCGGCCTGGGGCTCTGCCATGACGGTTCAAGCATGTAATGACAACGGAGGCTAGCACTGATTGAGCACCTACTGTGTGCTGGGAATGCATTAGATGTCTAGTAGGTGGTATCCGTGACCTTGACAGCAGCCATGCAATCAGATGGCTGTCCTCATAGACTCATGGAGCTCTGGGGCTCAGTAAGACCCAGTGGCCTGGCCAGCGTGCCCGGTGCCGACAGCCAGGGGGTCCTCTGACTTGGTGGGGCCACTTCTATCTGCCTCAGTGCTCTCCCACAGCAAGTGCCCTCAGTCAAACACAGGAGGTCTGAAGACAGAGCTGGGAAGCCCAGCTCCCCTGCTAGGCTTCTGGAGAGCTTCCCACCCTGGAGTCCAGGGACCTGAGTGACAGGTAGCAACTAAGGTCAAGTCCTTAAGTGCTCTTGATTTCACCACCATGTCAAGGACACCCTCGGAGACTGAGATACCATGCACTTTTGAAAACTCTAAACTGTAAGGACAACCTCATTCACAAAGCCACCCACTTCCCTTTGTGGACTGCGTGTTCTCTGTGGGATTTGACAGCAGGGAGAATACCAACTCTCAGACCCAGCACAAGCCCTTCCCTCAGCACAGTGCTACAGAGGTCAGCTGGTTTTCTTTTCCATTCTCTCCACTCTACGATTGTGGCACAAACCTTTCCACCAAGGGCAGATCGCTCACTTTCTGGAGCCTTCTGAAGTTTAAACCTGAGTCCACCTGCCCCCACAGGGAGGGTGCGTGGTGGGAGGTTGTGGGGCCCAGAGGCTTTCCACGTGACCCCACCACACCCCGACCCTGAGAGGACCTGAGAGAGCAGGACAGATGCCCGGCAGGCGAGGAGGGCGGACCAGAAGCTTCTGCAGGAATAAAGAAGCGAGGGGTGAGCCAGGCCTGGAGCGGGGGTTTAACCCCAGGGCAGACAGAGGAGGGGCTCTGGGACAGGGCACGGCCAGGAGATGCCCTCTGGCACCAAGCAGCCTGAGCCATGGGGCACCTGCGTGGCCACGGGTATCTAGGGGGACATGGGTGGTGGGGCACCGWGCAGACCCCGGTGAAAGCAGCACTGGGTTCTGGTGGCGGTGATGACGTGCACCTTCTCAGATGCTCACTCTAATTCTGCCCCCGCGTCGGGCCAAGAGCCGCGCTCTGATCACGGAGTGTGTGCCCAGAGCCTGGAGTCCAGTGTGACAGGACGCCCCCTCGCACACTCCCAGGGGTGTCACAGCCCAAGTCTCCCTTCTCCAGACAGATGCTGGCTTGGCTGACTGGGGACACAGGCATGGCATCTTCATGACCTGACAGGCGTTCACAGAAACACCCAGAAATACSGAATGCCAAGTGAGAACTGGACTCCAGTAGGGCCAGAGCTTTGCAACGTGGACATTCAGTGGAAAGTGTGACAGAGCCAGAGAACTCRCGGGTTGTGTGCCCGCAGCCTGTTTGAGTTTTACCGCTAGCCTGGGTCGTGGTTTGCTAAGGAGTTAATGATTAGTAATGTCTGAGCTTTTAAGAGACAGCGATTCTTCAAGATAGGGAGCATTTCCTGCCACTCTCCTGAGGAACTCCCCTGAGCAGAGAAGCAACGGGGCTTTGCGGCAGAGACGGAGAAAACCCTGGAGGTTATCAGAGCCACAGCTGGATGGCGGGACCTCTGGGGACTCCGCAGAGGTGGCACATGGCGTGTCCTGAGCTGAGATCCCACTCTGCCTCCCGGGTGTGGGCAAGCAGCCGTGTGGCCGACGCGTGGCAGGGTGAGCTGGAAAGCATGTCACAGGGCAGCGTGCGACAGGGCCTGACAGCCTCAGGCCTAGAGGGAAAACAGAAACCCACTGTCTGGGGTCCGGAGGCTGGAGGTGGAGGCCAGGGGCTGGGCGGAGGCTCTGCCGCTCTCTCCAGCTGTGGTGCTGGATGGCCCTCTGCACTCCAGCCTGTGGAGTGACCTCTGCCTCCACCCTCACAGTGCCCCCTCTGTGTCCAGATCTCTTCCTCTCATCAGGACACTGTTCACTTTGGATAGGGGCCACCCTTCCCAAACAATCCTATCTGCAAAGAGCCTGTTTCCAACTCCRGCCCTGCTGAGGTTCTGCTGGGGACTTCAGCCTGTGCCCAGGGACACCCTCCACCCTCCAGGGCCCCTTCCTCACAGGACTGCCTGGAACTCAAGCTAGGGTGGCTGGATAGGTCTCAACACTGGCCAGTGCACACTGTCCCCGGCCACCGCGGCCTCTTCCTGAGCAAGTTCCTCGGCCACCCGACTTTCAGCCCAGATTAGTTCTGTTAGGAATGTGAATCTTCTAGAAAATGCAGTGGTTGAAAATCAGACACTGGGAAGATCAGTCACGTCACACAGAGAAGTCCAGGGCTTGTGACGGAAATGGCGCACCGGCTCTACCACGAGAGAGCAACCGGCCAACGGGCAGCGAGCAGGTGAGACAGAAAGGAAAGCAGCAGGCCGCGTGGCAGCCACAGACAGGACCCTCTGGAAGCGACGACCCTGTGACCCTGGATGGCTAAGGCTCACGGTTTGGGTTTTTAAAACCATGTCTTGTGAAAGGTGTGCAGAAGTCACCTCTCGGCTCAGGTGGCCAGTGTTTCTTGGTGTGCTGGGACTCACCAGAACCATCGGGCTGCTGGAAATGAGAGGCATCCTGGAGGACACCCCCACCGTCCACTCTAGGACGCGCTGCGGGTCCTGCTGGAGACCCGCAGCCAGAGCTCTGCAGGAAAGGGTGTCAGACCTGGGAAGACCCTCCTCCTTCCCCAAGGAGGAGGTGGCTGGCTCCAGGGAGCGAGGGCGTGCCTCTGTGGGRGGGTGTGCAGGTGGAGTCCCAGAGGCCCACACGCACACGCGGGTGCTGCTGGGAGTCGGGGTGCTGGGGCCCAGCCTGGGCACCCGCGACTTCTCACCCTGGGCCGTCTATTTGTCTTCGGTCCTTTCTGTGTAAAACGAACCACTGTGTGAGACATGTGTGACGGCCAGAGCTGGTTCTTCAGAGCTTCAGGTGAGCCGCAGCACGGTGAGGACAGAGCCCGAGTCTCTCCATAGGGCGCAGGAAAGGCCCGTCCCGGAGGRCCCCAGCCAGGTTCCTTCACAGAGAACACCCCTCAGACTTGCCGTGGGGGCATTCAAACGGCAGTGCTGTCCTCCACCCGAGCACTCGGCTTCACTTACGGCTTTCCATGTGCAGAAGACTCTTCCTCCGAGATCCCTGTCCACAGAGGCAGGACACTACCCAAGGCCTGAGYGTGGCCACCCACCTTCTCTGCCCAAAGCACCACAGAAGTCCCAGAAGGCGGGGTTCGAGACACAGAATGACTCTGGGGCCACTGTGTCTGGATAGCAGACCTGTAAATGGCTTCAGGGAACCAAGCAGCTTGGCCGTGTCCAGAGGAGAGAAGCTGCCAGGTCTAAGGAGGCAGGACAGGGTGTGGGACTTACCACCTGCAGATCACGGTCCAGGTGAGGGCTGCCAAGCCGGCGATGAGCAGTGCGCCCAGTGCCACGGAGACCCAGGACGCCCGTGGAAGCCTGCCAGAGTCTGGCGAGGACAGAGACRGTCAGGGAACCACCCGGGCTGCAGAGCACTGCATCTGACCTGGCTCACGGCATCAGCCGTGGGGGCCAGTCACCGGCCCAGGAAAGCCTGGTAGACAGCAAGCCCAGCCCTGGGCACATGGGGCCTGGGGGGAGGCAGGGACAGGGCACGACCCCGAGAGTGCTCTGGCAGCTGCAGGGTAGAAAGGGAAGGTCCCTGCAGGCAGGAGGGCGCAGGGTCCTGAGCGATCCTGCCCAGGGAGCCTGGGGTCCCACAGGAAGGAAGTGGGCCAACCCGGTGGCCTCACTCAGGGGCAGGTTCTGGTTTCTGCAGAAGCCACCAGAAGGTCGACCTGAGGCGAGGACGGGCAGCCCGCAGAGACCCAAAGCAGAGGGCCGTGTGGTCTCGGACAGACGGACGAGAAGGCTGGGAGAGGAAGCCTGGCCCCTGCAGGGCYGGGGCTGGACCGCTGGTGTGCCCTCCGGGTGGGACCTCCCTGCCCTCATCTGGCAGGAGGGCTTCTGCCCCTCAAGGCCAGCCTCCACGCTTTCTGTGGGCTGTGAGCTGGGCCCGGCTCTGACGTCCTGGGCTTGCTACTGACGGGGCTGGTCAGCACTTCCTTCTGGCTCTCCAGCACAGTTAGTGGCCCAGGGGAAACCCAGCAGAGATGGAAACCCACTTTTAAAACGTAAACCCTCTCAGCCAGTAGAGTCCATGGGGACTCTGGCCAAGCAGAGGTCAAGCAGTGACCRGTGGGCTGGGAAGTTTGCCGTGGCRGGAAGAACTAGGTGCAGACCCTCCTGGTGGGAAGGGCTGGCCTGGACGCTCAGCCCTTGGCCTGGCTCCATGCTGAGATGATACAGACTGACACTGGCGTCCTCCCCAGGTGTGGTCTAGTTGTAGGGGCCAGCCTCCGTGAGGTCAGGCAGGCAGCCGCTGGTCTGGGTGGACAGACCGGGGAATTCACCCTGTCTCCAGCTGCTTCCTCTCGGCCTCACCCCTTCTCCCTGCCCTCTGTCCCCACCCCTTCTTGTTGACTCTCAGGGTGTCGCCAGCTGGGGACAGTGTGCCTTTCTTACCACAACCTCCTGGGCTTTCTAGTGGGTGGAAAGTGTTCAGGCAGAACACCCCAACTCCCACCCCAGTCCAGCTCCCCTCCCTAGGAAATGTTTGACTTGGGGGCACCATGGAGCTCCCAGAGCCTCTGCAGGCATAAAGCCCACCTCCCTGAGCCCAGCCTGGCGGTCCTACTGCCAGCAGCTGCCCTGCTGTGCCGTCTTTGAACATGAGCATACACCCTGCCTCTGCCTGCACCCCATCACCCTTCCAGACCAGCTCCTGGGACAGGGAGGGCTGGGTGGAGGTTATGCACTGAGGCCCTGCCACCCCTGCCTGACGGGCAGACCTGCCTCAGTCCCACCCCAGCCCCGTGACACAGGGTCCTGCCTGCCCTCTGCCTGGGCTCTCAGACACCTCTAGTTCTTGTGGAACACGGAAGAGTGGAGAAACACTGTTGTGGGTTTTTTTCCTAAAAGTCTTCCTGCCTTCAGTATTTAGCATTCAGAGAGACCCTCGGCAGACAGTCCTGAGCCGAATGTCCAGGAGGGGCATATGAGGTGGCTTCTGTTGGGAACAGCACAGAAGTTTTTCCTAGGGCTCCTTAGAGCCATCTCACAGGCTAAAAAGACATTACCAAAAATACAGCCAATATTTCTGAGGCTATAGCAACAGGGACATTTGAAAGTGGGCTCAAGTATCCTCCGTGGCCACCTGGCACGTTTCTGAACCCACAGCTTTCTAGAGTCTCCAAAAGTGAGAGCACCAAGCAGCCCTGACTGCCACCCTATGTCCACGGTCAGCACGCTGCGGGCTACCTCGCCAGTCTGCACCCGGATGGTGTTTGACACAAAAGGTCTCATTAAAAATCTCAGTGCAAAAGCTTCAGTTTTCTGTACTTTACCTTGACCAGGCGTGATCTTGTTTAAAATAAAAAGAGGATCATTCAAATATAGAGAAAACGTGATTGAAATCGGAGGAAACAGCAGGTTTGAGGGAAGAGAGCAGCTGAGAAGAGACGTCATAGCCCGAGAGGAGGCTGCCCGGGAGGAGGCTGCCCGGGAGGAGGCTGCCCGGGAGGAGGCTGCCCGGGAGGAGGCTGCCCGGGAGGAGTCCATGAGGCAGCAAGAGTGGCTGGAGGGAGCCAGGGGCACTCCTGCCTTGGGCCCGAGAGCCCAGCAGTGCCAAGCCAGTGGCTCAAGCAGCCGGCTCACCCTGAGGCCCACCTGGCGCTGGGGAGGGGCTGGAGAGGGCCAGATGTGGAGTAGGGGGCTGGCCAGGGGCTAAGAGTCTGGTCCTGGTCCTCGCACCTGCCTTCGTCTGGGGCCAGAAGAGTGAAACACCCCCAGGACSGGCAGCGTGGAGTGCCGCCCGCTGCAGAGCCGCCCCACCTCCCGGGGCGCGTGGAGCCTGCCTTCCTGTTTTACCACACACCTTTCCAGAAGGAGGGCACAGCAGAGCTCTGGGGGGCGCCAGRGGGCAGTGTGGGGGCTGGGCATGCAGGGGGGCTTGGGGAGAGGGGCCGCGGAGGCTATGAGAGGGAAGGGGCTCCCAGCGTCAGCGTGGGGGCAGGAAGAGCAGTGCCCTGCGGCCCTCTCAGCCCAGGCCAGCAAGCCGCCGACCCTGCTGTACCAACAGCAGCCAAGTCACCTCCTCTGGCCAGACCTTGGCAGGCCCTTTCTTGCCAGTGGGCTCTTCTAGGCCAGGTCAGCAAGATGCCCTGCTGACTGCTCTGTCTGGTAAGCTCCTCTCGGCATTTCCATCCACGAGGCCTTCTCTCTGCCCTCAGGCGACACAGTCACACTCCTGAGTGTCTCTGCTCATTGGAGTGAGCTCAGTTCTACCAGAAGGTCTCTCTCCCCTACTGTGGTAGCTAAATAAAATCCACTTTGACTCCCCTAGTGTAGAGTTTTTTATAAGAACTAGAAGCCAACTTACACACCCACCTCTGCAACTGAGTGGCTGTGTGGCCCTGAGAAAGTCACTCAACTTCTCTGTTCCCCAGACTCCTCATCTGAAGAGTGGGGATTAATCACAGTGTTTCCTTCAGAGACAACTCAGCAGGCGAATCAGCGGAAGGTTTGCAGCAGTGCCCAGCTCCCTAACCTCTGGTGCGGATGAACACTGTCCCTGAAGCAGAGCCGAGCGTCACCCTGAAGGACTTTGGTGGGCACCCAGTTCCCGTGGGACAGGCAGACCTACAGGCGGACCCCTTGCTGCCCGGGCCAGGGCAGAGGGGTGTGAGCTTGAAGGAGAGAAGCTGGAGAGTCTCTGGACACCCTGCTTCTGCACAGGCCAGCTGTGTGGCCCACGGGGGTTGGCACGGAGTGGGAGCTCTGGTCCCAGCCTACGCGCACTGGGCACAGAGCCCCTGGGTGACAGTCTCTTGCTAGGGAGGTGGCCTCAGGCCCCACCCTGCCCGCGGCAGCAGAGCTCAGAAGGCTCTCCTGACTGACTGCGCTGAACACGGGGTGCCCTCGAGGCAGCCGGGAGGCGCTCACCCACGCAGGTCCGCTGGTCCTCGCCCAGCACGTAGGGGTCGGTGCACACACACAGGAAGCTGCCCTTGGTGTTCCTGCACTGGGCAGAGGCGTGGCAGGGCGGGCGCGTGGGGTCTGCACACTCGTCCACGTCTGGGAAAACAGCGCCAGGTCATCAGCAGGAGGAGAGCGGCCCTCCCCGCCCGGCCCCTCCTGCAGGCAGCCCGGATTCAGGCCCAGCCCTGGAGCAGAGGACCAGGGATGTCACCCCAGACCCCGGCGCCCACCTCTTGCTGGCTGACTCCCACAGGGAGAATATGGGGAGGTGCACCRACTCCTGTGGGCCCTGCTGAGCCTGCCCAGCCCGGCAGGCCGTGGTCCAGCAGTGCCGCCCTCCCCTGCACACACAGCCTCCGCTCACGCCCATCCTGACCCCAGCCTTCCCCTCTCTGCCCTTTCAGGAAGACGTTAAGGACACGGCACACACAAGCCGTCAGTCACTTTCCTCTTGGTGTACRCCGTGGCTGAGGCTCGAGGCTGGCCGTCTCTGTGAGCTGGCTCTGCAGGACAGCTTTTGAGCACTCGCCACATTGACAGTGCAGGCGGGGCCCCGTTGTCCACTCTGTGCCTTCACCAAGGGACCTAGTTGACAACCAGTGAGCTGACCACCCTCATCCTCACCAGGCACCTGGACACCCGCTGGCACACAGAAACTTAGCTCCTGGGGAGCAACTAGATTTCCAGCAGGTCAGTGGCCAGAGCAAGGAGAGGGTCAGGACTGGTCCCAGGGTCTCTAATTCACACGCCCTGTCCCCATCTCTCAGGATCTCCTGGAAGAGCCTGGCTCGGGGTGGGCTCAGGTGCTGCTGGCCACAGAGCCCCCATGAGGCTCTCCCAGACGCCCTCCCCAGCCGCTGCTGGCCTTCTCCTCCTCACCCCGGTTCTGTCCTCAGTGGCACCTGGATGGCTGGTGTGGTAGCCACACCTACATCTGACCAGGCAGATACTTTGGGTCTCTGATTCACTTCACTGTCAGGGTCTGGAAGTAACTGGCCATCCATTGCAACCCTTCAAGGCCCAAATATCTTGAAATTTCAAAATCTAAACAAAATGTTTCTGCTGCAGGAAGTGGACAGCATGGATTGGACCACCTTGGTCACTGGCCAGCAGGCGGCACGGCAGCATGGAGCCCAGGCCCCTGCTGTGTGGCCAGTGCCACTATCACAGAGCTCTCTCTTCTCCCACACTCAACTCTGCAGAACCTAAACTCTTGGGCTCTGTCTCGTCTCTGCTGCAAACCCACCATGTCCCTTGGGCTCTGTCTTGTTTCTGCTGCAAACATGTATGTCCTGGCATGGTCTCTTTCCTCCTGGGCTTGGCGGGCCAGGGGCCGGTGTGACTCCTGGCCTGGGGTGGGAACCTCCTCTGCCACTCCACCTGGGAAACTCGCTCTGTGGGTTCTCTCTCCCCGTGCCCAAGCTGCTCTGTCAATCATGATCGATGCTGCCGTCCTCTGCAGTCCGGGCGCCCTGGGAGTGGCCGGCCATGGCGAGTCTGACTCGCTGGGCTGGAGCAGCTCCGCCGTGCAGCGCTACTGGCCAGGAGGACCGGGTTTTGTGGCATTGCTCTTCACACAGCAGGTGCTCTGGGATCGTCCCTGACCCACATGCCCCTGGGTAGTACTGACCTTTGCACACGGGGGGCTGGAGGTCCCACCCGTCCTGGGTGCAGCTGACCCGCTCCTGCCCTTGCAGCACGAACCCGTGGTGGCAGGAGTACACCAGCACCTGCGTCCCGGACTCCTCGCAGTGCACGAAGCCCCCGTTGTCCACCTGGCCCGGGAAGCCACACTTGCCACCTGTGTGGGGCCAAGGTCACAGTGCATCAGACCTCAGGGGAAGACGCAGGTGGACACTCGCCACACCTCTAGGCCAGCCCAGCCCTGCAGACAGGCCCCTGGAGAAGGGGCTTCAGAGAGCTGTGCCCACTGTCGCTTCCCATCCAGGACAGATGTGCCAGGAACACGTGTCTCCCAGTGTGTGCACGGTGTGTGTGGGTGTGTACGGTGTGTGCTGTGTCTGTACGTATAGTGTGTATGCAATGTGTCTGGTGTGTGTACATAGAGTGTGCATGTATGTGTAGGGTGTGATATGTGTGTGATGTGTGTAAGATGTGTACTGTGTGTGGTGTAGGTGTGGTGTGTGTGTTGTGTGTGTTGTGTGTGGTGTGTTGTGTGGTGTGTGTGGTGTGTGTGGTGTGTGTGGTGTAGGTGTGGTATGTGTGGTGTGTGGTGTGTGTGTTGTGTGTTGTGTAGTGTGTGTGGTATGTGTGTGTGGTGTGTGGTGTATGTGGTATGTGTGTGTTGTGT